CATCTTCAGGTGTGCAGCAGCGGTTCTTTATAGTGTTCAAAACGTGAGTTTTAAAGAGACGGCTGTCGTTTTGATGCTTCAGCGAAAGACCCGAGCGCGGCAGATACAATCAGCGTGTAATTGTCTTTTTCTTTTTTGTGTGTGTTTTGAAGAAAAACACCGTCGAGAACTTTAACTGCGGCATTAGGCCGTTAGGCTGATGTGAAAATATGACGGATAAACCGAAGCGAAACGAGGTTTTGAGCGAGCAGCTTCGAACAAAAGACAAATGATTCGGAGGCGGGAGGGTTGGGGCGGATCAAAACAAGACAGGAGAGTATGGAAACATGTAATGAACTTGTTTCTGCGCCCGTTTGACAAATCATCGCCCCGACTGATTTTGTCAGCTTGGAAAAAAAAAAAACCAACGCACACATAACCAGACGCGTTTATGCAATGAAGCAATACATCAAAACTTGGCGAGCTTTTTGGACTTTCTGTTCCGGTGAACCGAGCGAACCCGGCCGCGGTTGTAAAACACCACGGATCTCTATTACGCCGCAGTAGTGATCTGTCACTAATACAAATTAAACTCCCGCCGGCGAAAACATATTTCACTTCGGAATTAGGCTGCGTAGTAAAACAAATGAAGCTAAAATGGGACGGGAAGAAACGAAAAAAAAAAACAACTGACACCTGCTCCGAAATGATGGATAACGCAAAAAATGTTAAACTACAGCAATTCTTTAAAGCATGATAGGCAATTTAACTCCCTTGTTGAAGTAATTACACATTTACAAAGTGCTGATGAGAGTTTTCCAGAAGCAGCAGCAGGGAGGGGGGAAGAGAAATGTTTTTTATTAAAAGGGCGGCGAATGCAGCCTCGGAGATAGACGACGACTTTCCTCATCGCGACGATTACAAATGCAATCTGTTCCCCCCCCTCCTTCGCTAAAAATAGTTGTTTGTGCCGCATCCTCGTTTGGACCTTGTCGAGCATCTGTTAGCGGCGTCTGCGGCTCTCTCGCGAGCAGAACATTGCAATAATGTGCTGTCTCATTACCGTCCTCTTTCCCCCCGTCGTGGATGCACAGACAGGCTTCATTTAAGTGAGGGATGTCGCCACGCCGGAGCTGGGATTCGCGGCGTGATGGAGAGCGGTGGGGAGGAGAAGGACGGCAGATGTAGCGGTGCCCTTAAGCAGGTGCTTTCAACCATCAGCCCCGTCCCCGGTTCTGCTCACAGTCTTTTGATATCGCCGGTCTGTGACGTCCGTCTCAGGAAGAAAAAAAAAAAAAGCGTGATTTATCCTTCACCCTCTAAAATCTGCTTCTCTGCATCTGCTGATTTTTTTTATTTATTTACAAAATGTCTCCAACAAAGTGAGCAGAGAGGAAGTTTTTATGTTAAGGACAAGTAAGTGTTGCCTTTAAGTGGATTATACAGTCGTTAAAATCAGAAGAGAATTAAATATAATTTGGAAAAGCTGCAGGATTATATGTTGCCAGGAGAGCAGTTGGTATCTTCTCCACAAATGTAAGTCGAGAGCGTTAAAATGTTTGACATCACGTTAAGTCATCACAAAAACACTTTGCATTTAATACTTTTTAAAATCTACACGACTAAGTTTAAGGTTGAGCGTTAAAAACATGTTTCGCCCAATTACGTGATGCGACTTTGTTCGTAAAATCGTAAAAAAAACTTCCTGAAAAGCCTTAACGAGCTTTAGGTGAGGCTGGGCTCGGTTAAAAAAAAAGAAAGCAGAGCAGACAGAACTAATAACAGCAACAGCACATAATGAGGACGGAGGATTATGGAAATTAGGTGGCGACGTACAAATGATAAGAAATGAGAGGAGACGATGAAAACTTGGAGATGCTACGACCGAAGCTTTCTTCAATATCTTTGGTAGCTTTGGGGGATGTTATCTGATGAGTTCTTAAAACTAACGTTACTGTGCTTGTGGTAACGTCTCCTCGATGTATGTTTATCACAGGGCCACACTTAGAGACAGACAACCAAGCACACTCACGTTCACACCTACGGACAATTTACAATCACCAATTAACCTCAACATGTTTTTGGACCTTGTGGGAAGAACTCGGATAGAACCCACGCTGTTCACAGAAAGATCCCAGGTGTCCTCACCGGGACACGAACCGGCGACCTTCTAGCTGCGAGGCGACGGTGGAAGTTGCAGCGTCTCTGCAAGCGCCACCAGGTGTCGCTACGACTAGACACATGGTCACATAGTCGATATATTTTTTAGTTTTGCATTTTTTATAACCTCTACAAACTTGCTTTTTTTCACACAACTCTGCACATTAACTAAAGAAAGCTGTTTCACTGTGCAGAATGTATCCTCTGTGTCGTGTTTTGGAGCCATGATACTTTTATTTTAATGCGTAACGATGTTTAATTTTTCTCTGAACATCCTTGTTGTGTCTCAGCTGAGTCAGTCGTGGCCTCTCAGTTGTGCATTTAGTTATTTTTACAGAATATAACACAAACTGTTTGTGTGTTTTTGGCAAATTCTTAATGAGATGTAGGGAAAAAAAAAGATTTGACGACATATCTGCTTAGACTTCGTTGTGTTTCTGGTGAAACTAAAAAAGTCACACGTGGTGAGTTCAAAGACCGTTGGAAAGTTGATCATCTATATAATTCCTTTTGTTTTTTTTACAGTTTCCGGCTTTGGAAATGGTGCAATAGTGGAGGTTTTAAAAAGCAATTACATGCCTTTATAATATGGGATTTTTAAGGATGATATAAAAGATAAAATAGCAGGAGAACAGTGGCAAGTTTTGTCAAACAAAGCTGGATATTTATTTTTTTTCTATAGCGGCGCCAGCGATGTGTGAAATGAAAGGTCAGACGCTTTAGACATTCAGAAGTGCTTACTTCTGTGGATAAAACAAGCAAAGCCATTTTTACTGCTGTTTTTGAAAGAGGAATTTCACGGCACTCGTATCTTTTTATTTGTATTTTTCCCATTTAAGCCATCGCGGCATCTTTCATGCTAAACAACTCGTGCTGTGCGCAGATCTCCCCGCGATCAAACAGCGTCCGTTTCCTTTATTATTCCAAATTGAACTGCTGGAAACATAAAACACATTCCCCCTTTCCTGCGAGCGTCTTTCCTGGGAACGACCTACAGCAGCAGGCGTTTAAAACAGCCAGAGCTTTCATGAGCGGGGGAATAGGTTGAATCACTGTTGTGTTAAATCACTTGGCAGCGGCGAGCGGCGGAGAAAAAAAAAAAAAAAAGGGGGCCGTGAACTGAGATGAAATCTTTGTGGGCAGAAGTTGTGCTATTGCCAGTAGGGCCACCACTCATTTGGAGATGTTGCATGCAGCAGGGTTGGATGAGGTCTCGCACGGCCCTCTGGGGCTGCCCTCGCTCTCGTATGGCGGTGTTAATAACATCAGGTAATATCGCTGCTAGCGGTGAGAGGAATTGTTCAATTCAGTGCTCATTGACTCTTGACATCTTGAACACACAGGAGCGCTGCATATACCCAACACACGCACAGCAGAAACTTCCTTCTCCCACAGTTATTATCCAGCTTTTTTTGATGTACTTTCTTTGTTTTGCGCAGCAACTTAGTCCCATTTAAACAATTCTGAACACATTAGAAGTCAAACAAGTGCAGATGCATACATGGAAATGATCATTTAATACTTTAATGTTGGCAGCCGTCACTTCTTGCTCAGCTGCATCAGGTATGGAACTTATAATCGGTCTTTTACCTTCATTTTCCGACATTTTCAAACAATTTTGTCTTCAGAAATGCTTCAGTGTCCTCCCTGTCCAACAGAAGCATCCATTATGTCGACGCTCACTCCACCTCAATTCAAAAATGAATTCTGTGTTTTTACTTTTCATATTTTATGCCTCCTTCATAAT